CAGTTCTGGTTCTTAAGGCCAGACTGCCTGCCACCCGTCTGCCATGGCAGCCCTGAACCACAATTTGAATGTACGTAAGTCCCACCACAAACCACACCCATAATTAGTAATTAAACCTAAGGCTTGCATGCATATTTATCAACTTTAAACACACACATACCACTGTTGCATGGTATGACGACAATTGGTGTCTCTGAGTCATGAACAGAGGGCTAAGGGCGAAAGGCAAGGAAGATAGCCAGGAAAGAAGTCTAGGCGGGTAGACAGACTAGGAGCATCAACCGACTGTGGCCAACACTCTGACGTCTGACTATCGACAAGAGTTGGGCATAGTGTCCTCTCTTTTATGTCATAATATTTATAATATTTTTAATCTCTCTCTCTCTCTCTCTCTCTCTCCCTCCCTCCCCCCTCTCCCCTCTCTCTCCATCTTTCCTCCTTTCTCTTCTTACTGTAGTTGTTCTTCTAGTGATTGTATTTGTTTCTTCAGCTCTTCAATTTCAGCTAAGAGTCTAGCAATTTCACTCTCCAGTTCTTCCTTTTCTTTACCAGATTCACTGTTTTGAATAACAGGAAATAAAAAGATTCAAATATGTTATCAACAAACATGTACATGTACATGTACATGTAGGAATTTTCACAAAGCATGCTAAGTGAGCTAAAAGCATGCTTGGCTTTTAAACCAATTTGTGCAAATATGTTTAAATTTTTATTGGAATCGACTCAAACTTTATATGCATCATGCATAAAAATTATAATAATGGACATTTTCTCCTTAGTTCTGAATTTTGGCAAAATTTGGCGTACAATATGGGGGCTTTGATCTGATTTTTTAGCAACTTAAAATATTCGTTAAAAAATATAATTTTGATCACAATCAGCTCTAACTTTCTACACAACATAAGTACATGTACATGTATCAGGAAAATTATAAAAATGAAGAATTCTCTCCTTTTCAATTTTGGCAAAATTTGGCCCGGGACCATGTTTTTAGTACATGTCTCAGCCCCCCTAAGCTTTGTTTCAGACCCCCTGCACTGCTTACTCTAGTTTCTTGTTCATTTCTTGTATCTCGTTTGATTTTGATGTCACTGTTTCTTCCATCTCGCCCAGTTCCTTCAGGTAGCCTTGACTACAGTCACAACAGCAATGGTTACCAATGGATACACACACAGTACAGTTACCTCTTTGTCTCTTCCTCTCTGAGTTTCTCTTCAGTTGAGGACAGTTTGACTTTTAATGTCTCAAGCTCTTTAACTAGTTCATCTCTTTCGTTTGTTGTAGCCTAAAATAATAATAATAATAATAATAATAATAATAATAATAATAATATAATTATTACCTCTAAGTGCTGCTTTGATGCTGATAGTTCAGATTGGACTGATTCCAAATGTGAAGCTTGTGTTGCTGCTAATTCTATTAATAATAAATAACATGCAACATACAAACTTATCAGATGTGAGCTATTAATTACATTAAAACATCATTACAAATACTATCACTATGGACTTAATTGCTATTACATAAATTACAGTAACAATACTACTATTACATGACATTTCGTTCCTATAACTACTACTAGTTTGCCTTGCATGCATGCATATTGCATACCATTACAATATGAATATTAAGACTATGATAGTAATAAGCAAAAATTATCTAAAATGATAATGTCTGTTACCTTTTGATTTTTGTAAATCAAGTGAGAGCTGTTCCCTCTCATTTTGAATCCTCTTAATCTCTGCAACTAGAGAGAGAGAGAGAGAGAGAGAGAGAGAGAGAGAGAGAGAGAGAGAGAGAGAGAGAGGGGGGGGGAGGGAGGGAGAGAAAAGAGAGAGAGAGAGAATTAAAAGTATAGTAAGAAATACATGTAGTAAAAAATAAGAGTCAGACAAAACAAGAGACATTGGGAGACCATACAGTATATCATATACCTTGTTGCTGTACGTGTGCCTTTTGCTCATTGTTTTTCTCCTTTAAGTTGCTCACTTCAGCCTTTAAGTGTTTCTGTGTTGATTGTAATTGACCTGTGAGTTTCTGAACCTCCTGTGAACAAAAGAGGGAGAGATAAAAAGATGTAGCTAAAATATTAAAGAAAACAATTCTCATAACCTCCTACTACTTCCTTGGTTTGTTATTTCTCCCTTTCTCTCTCTATTATTTCCCCAGCTAACCTTCTGAGTAGCCTCAAGTTCTTTGTGTGTTTGAGTTAATTCAGTTTGAAGTCTCTTATTGTCAGGAGTTGCAGCTGCCTGGAGTAAACCAATACACAGAGCTATGTAAGCTGATACCAGTCTATCACAATCACTCCTCCCTCTTTTATACCAGCACACCCAATCACATTTTAAACTGGGTTCACAATACTTAGTGTGCTTTACTGGCCCACCCATTACTAACTTCATAGCTGAGTCTTATTTCTATGACAAACTTCCTCCTTAAATCCCCACAGTCAAGTTATTTCTTGTTTATACTATATACAACTTTTTATTTACATTGTCATCCTTCTCGACCTTTGGTATACATATGTATCTCCTCATTTCAGTCATAAACACTTACATGTACCCTTTCTCTCTCTCTCTCACTCACTTTTGCTTGGAGTATGTCTTTCCCTCGTACAAGGTCACGGTTCTCTCTCTCCAGGACAGCAATGGCGGCTTGCAATTCTAATTTATCTTTTGTTAATGTCTAACAAACACAAAAAAACAAAAACTAACGAACACACTTGGAAATGTAATGTACATGTATTGTACACAATCTAAACATAAAAGCATACATTAAAATGCAATATATATTGTTAGTATAAGACAGAGTACATTGTTTACATAGAAATTGAAGTATCATCATCACTGCACATCAGTAGTTACAATGTACAGTAGCATAAACATGCATTGTGTTAATTCACTTGTAGCTTTCCATCTAGTCTGACTGCTTCCTGTTTGCCCTGAGAGACCTGCTTGTTGAGCTCAGTGTTTTCTAAAACCAGTTTCCTGATCTAAAAGCAAAAGAGGAAACTGCTATCTTGACAGCAAATGACAACAGTCATCATGATCTCACCTGTTGCTCCAGTTCGGCAATGTTCCCAGGCAATGAGTGGTGATCACTGCTTGAGTTAGTGGTCTTGGATGCTGGTTTAGTTTGTTGCTTAGGTCTCTTTAATGACGAGGAAGAATATTTACTCTGGTGGAGTGAGAGAGAAAGAGGGGGGGAGAGGGAGAGAGGGAGTGGGGAGAGAGAGGGAGAGGGGAGAGAGAGAGGAGAGAGGAGAGGGGAGAGAGAGAAAGAGTGGTCACAAGGGGAGAAAAAGAGAGAAGGGAGGACAAATAGAGAAAGATAATTTCTATCGCTATAAGTATAAAGTTTCTTATAAAGATAAAATTTAAATTCACTGTTATTGGAATATTGAGGGTAATTTGCATTCCTCAGTAACAGCCAAAAGCATATCTCCCAATAACAAAATAATAAATAATAATTAATAAGAATGAGGCTACAGCTGGTACAGTGTTAGGCCACAATTAAGCCACATAGTGAAATTAAATAAACAACTATAAAATATATTTATAGCCAACAGTAATAGAGGAACATAACATTATAATAACATAAGCAACCACTAGTCAATCATACATGTAGATACAAATACACACAACAATGATAACATAAGTAGCTGCTAACAGCATTAGTAATTAGCAAGTGTATAAAAATAGGAATTAAAAGAAGCAGAGCAGTAAGTGTCCCATTGTACCCATTACATAAGTGTATATGTATGCCTGTCCTTGCTCTCTCGTTTGTTAACACTGAGATTACAAGTTGTCTTCTTGTTGGCAAAGAGTAATCGTTCTTGGCATGATCATAACAGGAATAATTGGAACGCTAAACACACACTAAACAATAGTGATAAAGTTGTCTTTTATGTCTGTACTCCCCCACCACATCCTCCCATTCCTCCCTCCCTTCAAATTCTCTACCAACAAACTAACATAACATCAATCAACAGGCTGGCTATGACACCAAAAAGTTTCTCTTAAAGCATAAATTAAGGCATAATATACAGTAAAGTGTAAATCAAAATTAAACTAATGTTTAATAACACTCAGCTGGTTTGTAAAGCTGTTAAATGGTAGAATACACAGCAACACCAGTTTAATACACCCAGCTGGGATCATTTGTACATAAAATAACAAAATAGAATTAAGGACTTACTGAGGCAGATGTAGTAGAGGAGTCACCGCTCCTGTCAGCTGTAAAAATGATAAAAATTAATAATAAATGTCATAATTATTTTGACTATTTGACTCGCTGCTTACAAGAAGGGCTAGATTGCCTAAATCTGCTGCCCTTTTCAAATGTTCCACCGATTCTTTTAGCGTCAGTCGACACATCATAAGCCCCAACAGGAGGAATAGTATCCACTAAAGATATATAAGGAGAGAGAGCGAGTAGTAGAATAGTCTATGGAGACACGAGTCCATAGTTCTATGACATTATTACTTACCAGTTTCTTTCCATCTTTCAGATTTTGAAAACATTATTACTGTAGCTGGTGAACCAGCAGAGGCCTGTTGTTCTCAAGAGTGTAGACTGCTTTAGTTGGTAGGCGTAGATCAGTTATTTTTATTAGTTATTATGCTCATTAATATTAATTTCTAGTTAGACAAAAATAGTTCCTTTTCCTTACAAAAGTGCCAAAACTTAACATTAATGTGATGCAAGCAACTGATCAAGTTAACTAATCACTTCATTCATTGTAGGACGTTTGTAAGGATTATCTTTTGTGCACGACTTGATAAGTTCATGGTGCAAAGACCTTGTGATCAATCCCACTGACTTAGTACTGGACCAAACTTGTTGCAACATATCTTGAAATGAGCTACGATCCGGAAATTTGCAAGTCAATGCTTCACAAAATAGAATACCATAACTGTAGACATCCATCTTGGGAGTTTGCACAGCAGAATATTGATTGGAAACACCTTGAAAACATTCTGGTGCACTGTACACTTCAGCTCCTGGTGCTCTACTAACAGCACGCCGAACTATATTAGCTGATCCAAAGTCGGATATCTTTGTCTTCCATTTCTCTGGCCCCTTTGACTCCAGTAGCACATTAGCACTGCTAACATCATGATGCACTATATTATCAATCGGTAGAGTGTGTAGGTAGTTTAAACCCACAGCTACATCATGCATGATAGATAAAATCACTGGTCTACATGAAGAATCAGGAGTCAGCTTCTTACTTTCATAAGCTTTACGCAATGATGGTATCAATTACTTCAGTGATAATCCTAGGATTGCCATCAGGATGATCTAAAATGGCACCTATGAACTGGACAATATTTGGATGTCGTAGTTGAGATAGAATATCAATCTCGCGATTTATTCTGCTAATATTTTCAGGGCTTTGCAGCTCTGCATACAACTGCTTGACAGCCACTGACTGCCCTCGAAATTTACCAATACGGACAGTACCAAAAGCACCTCTACCTAACTCCTGTTGGGATAGAGTGACATCTTGATGACTAAACTGCCATTTAGGAGTATCCTTATAATGTTGGTTACTTTCTCTAAGCTGGTGGCGTAACTGAACGATTTCTTCACTGTGTTGCTTTTGAGTTTTTACATATGCATCCTGAATTAATCTCTTTGTCTCCAAAGCTTCAGCCAACTGTGCAGCTTGTTGATTCTTATCTCTCTCTAAGATGCCAATTTTGATATCTGATTGACGTATCGCTTCGCAAAGTACATTATTCCTATCCTTAAGCCTTTTTATTATGTCAGATTGACCACCTTCTTCACCTGATGCCGAAGTTAATGATAGCTGCCCCATAGATGAAATCGACTGGTTCATCTGCAGTGACTGGATCAAAGCATCCTTGTCCACTATTGTTTGCATTAGATTCCTTTTTTCTGATTGAAGATGTCGAATACCATCATCCTGAAATATTAACATGCCCCTCAATTCATCAAGCTCTTGGAAAAAAGCTATCCTTCTTGCTTCAAAGGCATTCAATAATTCATTGTAAGATTTCGAAAGTCGTGTAGTGTCTTCCTCAAGAATAACTTCCGTTCCTTTGCGAAGGAGCAACACACTCTCT